TCCAGTTGTGCCCTGGACCTTGGAGACTGGTGGGCAAAACTGCAAAGTTACACCTAACCCCTAGACTCGATTATGGTACTGCACTGCGTGTTGGATTAGACTGTCTTTGATATGCTAATCAGTGAGATCCTTAGAGAGGGTCAAAACTTGGGTATGTTGGGGCAATCTGAGAATTCACTCGAGTGGGTGATCATAGTGATAGGATCAGCCCCTTTGTCGGACAAAGTGAATGATCGGGACTGCACTCTCTCTAATGGAAACCAAAACTGTCGACAGTTGATTTCAACCATGTTTGAGATTTGTTTTGCAAAATATATTTATATGAATATATACATATTATGTTTTATGAAAAAGGTTTGCAAAAGGTTTTAATTCCCATGATCCATTTGAGCAGAGAGTGCAACACTGTACCTTGCAGCCGAGAGAGAGATCCTCTCTTGTCGGGTAGTGTTTAATCATTAAGGGTTGAGAGGTTAAGTATAAGACCATTTAGGGTTGTTATACATAATGGGCTAATCTAACTTAAGACCGTTGTCCTTGGGCCTTCATAAGATGGTTGGACTCAATGACCATTTAGTGTAAATGTTGGGCCCATTAAGAGCCCATACTAAAGAACTAAGGGGTTCACTATGCTTAGCAGTGAATTCGGCCAGACTTTGTCACTGAAGCTAGGCTAAACCCAAATGGGCTTTTGTGAAGTCAATGTTGGGGTCTCACACCATACAAAAAGAGCCAAGTTACCCAGCAACTAAAAAGGGGATGTGAGCTACTTACTCAATGGGCCCAGGGCCCATGAATAATTGGATTAATCAGGATGTCCAAATCTTTATTTGGATTAACCTGTCATGTGACATGAGCGAATTTGGGTATGGATATGGGCTTGGATTAGCAAATCGGATAAGAGGATAAGTCTTAACCACTTAAAGAGTCTAGATCCAAATAAAAATTTGGGTAAGGAAGCTCCTAATTGGATTAGGAGAGCTGCTCTTTAAGGTATATAAATATAGAGGAGGGCGAACTGCTCCATGTTTACACACTGCTCTCAGTTTTCTCTCTCTCCTTTTGCTCTTGCCGCCCTAACCCTAATTCGACCTCCATTCTTGAACTGATAAAGATTAGTTCTAATATCTGATTTTGCAAGAAAACATCACATTTATTTCGTGCTCATCACCCTTTCTTAATCCAAGTTGTTGGATTGTAGTTCTTGTTGAAGGACTGCGTTGCTGAATCGACTTCACCTTAAGTTGTGCCATCTTTAGTGGAGGCTGGTTTTGATACCCTCTTTGGGCATGATCACCCACTTTGAGAACTACACGTGTGGAATCCGTATCAGGTATTCCTCTCCCTTTCTTTTGGTTTCAGATCTGGTCCGGTTCGGTGCAAGAACGATCCTTGAAAAATGTAATTTTTATAAAACTGGGAATGCAATTCCCAGAAAGGCAAGAAGAAATTTTTGAAATTTCGCCCTACCATCCTGCATGGTCCGGCCATCCATATGATGGATTTCCCCTTCCTTCAGAGACAACCCGTAAAATAAGGGGTACTGATCAAGAATTTTCCCTTAAAACTAAAATCATGGAGAGAGGGAATGTTGTAGTATTTGCATTGATAAAAGGAAAAATGGTGAAGAAGAGACCCTGTAAATGTCGAGTTTATATGATAATTGCCTTAACAACACATCTATATTTTAAAAACCCTTTAAATACAATGCCAATGTATTCTGGTTGCAAAGATTTAGAAGCGCCACTACATAGGTGATACCTACAACCAGATATGAGGGGAACTTAGATCTAATGCATTTGGATTCGAAGGGATTTTTTGTTCGAGTCCATTAAATGTTTTAACACATCATTCAGTGCTCCACTGATTGTTATGACTGACAAAACTAGTTTTAAATAAAAAAGTGATAACTTAAGTTAATATCGATAGAAATTTTCAAAAAGGATTCTAATAGATAATAGCAATTTTTTGCCCCTAATATAAATAAAAATCAAACTCTAAATATAATAACCAACAGGGAAAATTCCCGATCAATACCCAATTTGGTCCTTGAACTTTAAAATACGACAATCCAGTATCCAAACTTTCGAAACACAATAATCAAGTACTTGTCGTTAACCAATCGTTAAGTGGCATGTGAAAAGACACAAATGTCCTTCAAGTGTCATCTAATTTTCTTTATCAACAATTCACTAAATTCAGAACCAACTATCAAATTTTTCTTCCTTGCGACAACAATACTTTTGTCTTTCTTCTCCTCTAAATTTTTCATCCCCCAGACCAAAACCGTTGAACGGGTCGACAGTTCGACCGCCTAGGTCAATGGGTTGTTGACTGATTCAACGATTTTCGGCCAGGGAGCATGTTTGGGGTAAAACAGAACCGGTTGCCTGGACGGTTCTCAGGCCGAACGGTCTGACCGTCCAGGTTAGCGTCGGTTCGAAAACCATGATTTCTAGGAGAAAAGTTTTCCTTTAACTACTATAATTATCTTATCCGAAAAATGGAAAAAGAGAAAAGTCTCCGGCCACCATCACTTCTCTCTCTCTCTCTTTCAAGTATCAAGACAAAGCTTCCAGTTTTTCTCCTCTCTTTTACATGTGGGAATAAAATATTACTGTATTAAGTTAAAAAAATAAAAATAAGTTGTATAAAACCTGGAATTTTCTATTCTTGGAAAAGATTTGGTACAACTTTGCGAGAAAGGAAAAGTCGTTGCAAGTGTTTGTGATAGAGATCTAGCTTGGGCTTTGTTGCAAGGGTTTTAGTGTTTGTGACAGAGAGCTTGGGTTCTGTTTCATCTTCTTGAGGAAGAAGATGATGAACAGTGTGTTTTATTTTCAAGGGTAATTTTGACATTTTCAAGTCTTAAATTGCATATGAGGTCACATGATATATACATAACTAACGATCCATTAATAGCAGGTACTAGATTGTCGCGTTTCGAAAGTTCGAGTACTAGATTGCCACATTTTAAAGTTCGGAAACCAAATTATCACCTGAGCCAAAGTATAGGATACCAATCGGGAATTTTCCTTCTTCCTCTAAAAGAACAAACCGCGGCGGGCAAACTTGTTCTCCTTCTTATTGGCTAGAATCCCTCCACTGGACCATGCCTACACTACCCTGGTTCTTCTTCTTCTTCATCATCTCTCTCTCTCTCTTCTTCCTCTTCCCCATTCTTTATTCCAAAGGGAATTTACCAAAACTTCTGGAAAGTTGATTCGAGCTCGTCTTCTGGAGTTGTAAATGGAAAGAGAGTGACGTTGCAACGGGGTGCTGGGTTATTCTCGATCTCACTGGCATCACATTAACTCTGGGTTGTTAGTCACTGGATTCTATTGTTGGGGCTGGGAGTTCTTGACTACCCTTTTGCTTTTCAGTTGTGCTCATCGCATGAAATCTGGATTCTATGAATTCTTCTATCTTGTTTTACATATTTTGCTTTATTTTGTTTTTCTGCTGGGGTCTTTGGGTGGGTTGTCATGCTGGCGCCATTTCTGACGAAGACGTATCAGCTAGTGGATAATGCAAGCACGGACGATGCGATCTCGTGGAACGACAACGACACCACTTTCGTTGTCTGGAAACCTGCAGATTTCGCCCAAGATTTGCTCCCTAATTACTTCAAACACAACAACATCTCGAGTTTCATTCCCCAACGCAACACCTACATATGTATGTTATCACTCTTTCCTCCCTCACTCCTCTCTTTCTCTGTAATCGTAATTTTCTTCGTTATAATCATTTAATTTATCTTTGATTATTGTTTTTGCTTTCTATTTATGCCAAAGTAAACGAGATGCCATTAATAAATAATAATACTTTCTCCGAGGTTCTGGAGTGATTGGATATCTCCGGTGGCTTCAGCATGCATTTGAAGATGAATTTCGCTTTTAGTGCTCAAGTTCAGGTGAATGGTTGTGAATGGATCATTCGCTTTTAGTGCCCCTTAATTGATATTTTTTTTAAAAAAAAGCCATCTTTCACCTGAGGCGGCTGACTATTATATTAAAAGTATTACTTTTATTCATATTAGGGGTCAAAAGTTGTCTTTATCAGCTAGAACCCCATTTTAAAATCCTTGTGTTTTCAGACTCTAACATTTCCCTAGAGGTGTAAAACGGGCCGTCCTAGGCCATGCCTCCCTCTCCTGGGATATTTTGGGGGATTGGCCTGACACAACCCACGGCCCAAGTCCACTCGAGCCTGGGTTGGGTCGGGCTGGTTCATGGGCCGAGCCTTGGGCTAAGCCAAGCCGTGGACCAGGCTAAAGTTATTTATTTAAAAAATTAAAAAAAAAAAAACTTAAAATTTTAATTTTATATGAATTTTGATGTACACAATAATTAAATAAAATAGTATAATAAAATTTGAAAAAAAAAGTTTTATTTTATTAATATGTTATTACATAATTATAATTTATATAATATATATGGATTGGGCCATGCCAGCCTACGGACCATGAGCGGCACAACATGATAATGTGGGTTGTACTGGCTCGACCCGTTGACCTCAAGCCCCAAGCCCAACATGACCCATACAATTATATCAGGCCACAACATGGCCCTTGGACCATCGGGCCAGACCAAACCAGCTCAAAATCGTGTTAAGCCACAAACGGCATAGCCAGATTTACACCTTTCTCCCCTAATCCCACCATTAACAGCAACAAGCCATTATCAACGGTATTCAAATTGCAACAGAACAACGACTGTGGATTTTAATGGCAACAGCAACAGTGTTAACGGAAAGCTTCAAGCATCAAGAGTATTCATAAGAAATACTCTTATGGTTTATCTAATCGTGTAAGTATACCCCTACTGTTTGAACGGCAACGGCAACGACAATATCTTTTTTTATTGTTTAAATTTCTTAAACTATTCTTACTAATTGACTAAGTGTATACCCCTATGTTTTTGACAATTCACTAGTTCTACCTTACCGTTTGCGTTCATTAATAGTGACGTATATTTTTTTTAAATCCAATTTTACCATTACAGTCTTCTTCCTTTCACCATCAACAGCAAACCGAACTGGGTCCTTAACCTGCCGCTGCATTAGCCGCCTCCACCTCCGGCTCCTCTCCCACACACACTTCTCTTGTTTCACCTCCGCCGCTTGGGTTCCCGAACGTTCGACTAGTAATCACCAAAATAGGATGACCCAATGTCGGAAAAGGGTTGCGGCCAAAACAGGGTTGTTGAACTCGGTACCAATGCTTTTAGCCACCGACGATCAATCTCTCGAGAGAGCTTTCAGTCCCTATAGTGAAATTCTGGAATTAAAGGTCATCGGTGATCGTGAGATGGGTAGATATAGAGGGTTTGGGTTCGTCGTTTTCTGTGATGAGCAGTGCATTGAGGATTATGCAGATCGTAGGGCAGATTCTCGATGGCAGAAACATCACCGTCAACTGGGCGCAGTTAAAAGGAAGCAGTGATGGCGGCAGATCCCAATTCAATAGAAATAGTTCTGAATTCTGATGGAAGATCGGAAGATGGATTAAGTAAAATGGTGGTAAAATACAGGGGGTGTTAGTAAAACACAAATTAAAAGAGTAGGGTTTAATAATTATCAAAAACTATAAAGGGTGTTTTAGTAAATGACCCAAACAAAAAAGATTCTGCCCTCAATCCGTATTCCGGTATTCGGTGGAGAAAACCAGAAAACAAAGGAGAAACCTAAAGGGTTTTCCACCAAAGGAACCAGAACCAGGTAAAATCTCTTTTCTCTTTCTGCAACCGAACCATTGCTTTATATACCTTTTGAAAATAGTAAGATTCTTCGGAGAAAACTCTTGTCTTCTTATTTTTTTCTCACTTGAAGGCCCTGTTTTTCAGAAATTGAAGCTAAGTGACATGTATCCCTCCACTTGAAAACACTATTTTTTATCAAGCAACAAGTGCAGGCTGTTGCTCTGTTGCTCTGTATCTCAGCCATTATTTTTTAGGTCTCCACACAGAACGTTAGCATTTCGTACTTGTATTCGAGTGCATAGCTTCCTCCTCCTCTGTCTCTCCCTCGTTCACAACACACACACACAGAAAATTATTGTTTTTATAGCACATTTTTTATACCTTGAGAATGACTTTCTATCTGTATGTTTGGAAGTTGAGCATAAACGTTTGTCTCTTTACATTTCAAGCAGGAATTGTATCAAGGTTAGAGTTCCCTTCTATTTAGACCATTTTTGCAGTGGAAACATGATACGAAGGTTCATAGTTTTGAGGCGAGAAATCACCACTATGCCTTACCTATGTGAGAGGATAATGCAAACCGGTAATGTTCTCTTTTCCTTTTTCACCTTGATTATTTTCTATATTTATTCTTTACAAGATTTTTCAATCTTTGCCAATTGGTTCATATCAAATTTAATACTATCAAATAATAATGTTGGCTTTCTATTTCTTATTAATTAATTCATAATGTTATCTGCCATATCTGTCTAGTTTTGATTGAACAAATTCTGAAAAAGAATGTGTACCTGTTTTAAGTTTCCATAATTTAAATTTTGAAAAAAATTCATAAACTTGTTCCCTATGTGCAGATAGTGAAATTGTCCAAATGTTCCAACCGCCAAATCCCAAATGTAGCTTCCCAAATTTTCCAACAAATCCTAAATTATCTGGGAAAGATAATTCTGTTCGTACATTGGATGAGAGATTCATAAGGATCTTGAAGATATTCAAATGGGGCCCTGATGCAGAGAAGGCTTTAGAAGTGTTAATGTTGAAGGTGGATCATCGACTGGTTCGTGAAGTTATGAAGATAAATGTTGAGATCAGTGTTAAAATCCAATTCTTCAAGTGGGCTGGGAAGAGAAAAAATTTTGAGCACAATTCAATTACATATATGGCTCTGATTCGTTGCTTAGATGAAGCTGAATTGATCGGTGAAATGTGGAAGACAATTCAAGACATGGTTAGGAGCACATGCCTCATTGGACCTACTGAATTATCGGAGATTATTAGGATATTAGGCAAGGCAAAAATGGTGAATAAGGCACTTTCTATCTTCTATCAGATCAAGGCTCGTAAGTGCAAACCAACAGCAAGCACTTATAATTCCATGATATTGATGCTTATGCAAGAGGGGCACCATGACAAGATCCATGAGCTCTATAATGAAATGTGTAATGAGGGTAACTGTTACCCTGACACAGTAACCTACAGTGCACTTATATCTGCATTCAGCAAACTGGGTCATGAGGATTCTGCCATTAGGTTGTTTGATGAAATGAAAGAGAATGGGTTGCAAGCCACAGCAAAGATCTATACCACTCTGATTGGAATCTTCTTCAAGTTGGGTATTGTTGAGAAAGCTTTGGTGTTATTCTCTGAGATGAAAGAGAAGTGTTGTATGCCTACTGTTTTTACTTACACTGAGTTGATCAAGGGACTTGGAAAAGCTGGAAGAGTTGAAGAGGCTTATTCGATGTTCCTCAATATGCGGGAAGATGGCTGTAGGCCAGATGTTGTGCTCATAAACAATCTAATAAACATTTTAGGCAAGGCAGGGCGATTAAAGGATGTTCTTAAGCTGTTTGAGGTTATGGGTTCTCTTCAATGCACTCCAAATGTGGTGACATATAACACTATAATGAAATCTTTATTTGAATCCAAAGCTCCTGCATCAGAGGTTTCCTCCTGGTTTGAGAAGATGAAAGAGAATGGAATAGTTCCTAGCGCCTTTACTTATTCAATTCTTATTGATGGTTTTTGCAAGACAAATAGAGTTGAGAAAGCTTTGCTCTTGCTTGAAGAGATGGATGAGAAAGGTTTTCCTCCTTGCCCAGCTGCTTATTGTAGTTTAATTGATGCTCTTGGCAAAGCAAAACGGTATGAAGCTGCAAATGAGTTATTCCAAGAATTGAAAGAGAATTGTGGATCTTCAAGTGCTCGGGTATATGCTGTGATGATCAAACACTTTGGAAAATGTGGGCGTCTCAGTGAGGCCGTCGATCTTTTTAATGAGATGAAGAAACTTGGGTGCAAGCCAGATGTTTATGCTTATAATGCACTTATGTCAGGGATGGTGAGGGCTGGCATGATAGATGAAGCCCACTCCTTGTTTCAAACAATGGAAGAAGAAGGTTGTGCTCCAGATATAAACTCACATAATATCATTTTGAATGGATTGACAAAGACAGGTGGCCCTAAAAGGGCAATAGAGATGTTCACAAAAATGAAAAATTCAAAGATTAAGCCAGATGCTATTTCTTACAACACCATTCTTGGCTCTCTCAGCCGTGCTGGTATGTTTGAAGAGGCAGCAAGACTTATGAAAGAGATGAAATCAAATGGATTTGAATATGATCTCATTACTTACTCATCAATACTTGAGGCCGTTGGTAAAATTGATGAAGAGGCATAGTCAGCTTCGTGACACCTGGTATGTTCATTAGCTGTACTTAATTTTTGCTTATCTTCTTTAATATCGAGGTTCCTTGGTAAAATAATTTTAGATTTTAATGGTTAACTTAATCTGTCTAGCAAAGTCTCCAATGGATGGATGAGTTAAGATGGCTATAGACTTAAATAGGGAAGGTCAATTCATGTGGCTCGTTCTTGGCATGAGTACAGTTGATATAAACAAGCATACCATGCTTTTGGAACATTACAAGAGAGTAGGGGAGGCGTTCTTTGGTGCTCAAGATTCTAGAAGCCTTTAGCAGTCTTTTTCTTTTTTGTCTCGAACGTGAATCCATTTATTTCCAGTTGCAAGGCCAAGATATGCTGGAAGTGGAGTTGTTCTGGTCTCTTCAGTATTCAGAGTTTTTATGCCTTTCCTCTGAGATGGTATAGTCTATGGTTTCAGATACTCCAAGATGTAGGCGAAGTTGTTCTATTTATTAGTTTCTTTTCTTGCTTGACCGTCAGCCAAAAAGAGGATCCCAAATGAGGATTACCTTGCTAACCAGAACCTTGTTGGGGGGGGGGGGTGTTCATGGGCCAAGTTTCTTGGTATGTTCTGTGTTATTAATTTGAATAAGTATGTCTTGCTTTTGGATTGTTGCAAGAGAGTATTTAGATGAGTTATCTGGTGCGCAGGATTCTTCTTCTTTTGAATGTGGATCATCTTTTCAGCTGCAGGGATATAAAATCCAAAAAGTGGAGCTAGATTAGGCTTTCTTATTTGGAGGTTTAATACCTTTTCTATGATGGTATAGTTTATGGTTTCTTACCACCCAAGATTTGGGCAGAGTTGTTTAGTTGTTTCATTTTGATGCAGCTTTTTTTTGCTTGGACATCAAATACAGATCCTAATTTTTATATCACCTTACATACTGAACTTTTAGGGCAAGGAGAGTGAAAAAAAGTTATCTTGTCTTCTCTCAGATAACTTGTCAAGCCAGCAGAGATCTCTACCCATTGTGTAGCTCTTATGAGCCTTTTGTGGATTTAGTTTGTTCTAAAACTACAACCCTCCCAATGCATTGGTTTTGTATCTTGGTTTTAAAGGCTTGTGAGATGAGGCAAAGAAGTGTATGTCTCAAGGTGAGGCAGGCTGTTTCACCTTGCTTCAACAGCGTCACAAAATGAAGACAAAACATAAGTCTTGAAGGTTAAAAGGTGTGTATCTCTTGCCCAGATGCCCAAATCCATGGAGGTGTATGCCCTAACTATTGACACTGCAAAACCAGCATTGACCATGAGATTAGGGGTAGAAATGTGTCTGTGATTGGAAGAAGACAAAGGACCAAAGGCTAAAGACAATCAATCGGTCTAGCATTAGAACCCTGAGAGAATTGGGACAGGAAATGTGAAGTTTTAGTCATTTGATTGCAAACTTGTGGAGTTCTTAAGGTCAACTCTTCTATGTAAAAATGAAAAAGGGGTCTCCCCCCCCCCATCTTTATTTTTTACTCTTTAAAATAACAATGGGGAAACATGGAGTCATCTATTGCATAAGTTCCACTCAATTGTGTTTTTCCCTTTTTGGTCTCATTCGTGTCTTGACAAGTCATTTACCTGGATAAATGCACTTATCCATTCAAGTGTTTCTTGGGATACACTTACCCGGATAAGTGTACTTACCATTGTTCTTTTGTTCCCCGAGTAAAGTTGTACAATGACTATTTTATCCAAAAAAAAAGTGACATTATTGAAGGGACAATATTGTCCTATCACGTATTAGCAATTTTCGGTGCAGATGGGTAAATGAGCTGCTCAGGAATCATTCTTTTCCATGGGGCCCACTAATACCGAAATACAAAAACGGGTTTATTTCTTTAATGTGGGACCCACCAACTTACCCAGCCCCACTTCCTGAAAACGAACGAGGCCTTCTAGTCCAAAATACTTGGTGTTTGTCCACCTAAATAGATTATGGTATCTATAACGAGGATGATGGTGTTGATGTTTCAAGAGATAGGTATTTCTTAGACTTAAAACAATAAAACATGTTAAACAAAGATAGGTATTACCTTATCTTTTATCAAAAAAAAAAAAAAATTCTAGAAACTAATAGATCCCTCATTCCCTCCAAATGACTTCAAGTTTTACTTCAAGCACCCACACAACTTATTGTTGATTGTGGTTACCATGTCCACTGAAACTTTGCTCTATGTTTCAATGTATTACTTGAACTTCCTCATGATGATAGAAATTGGTCAGGTGCAATTCTCACATATTATATTGGTTACAATAGTAACTAGAATGACAACTATGAGGTATATGCTGTTTTGTATTAAAACAAGGATATGCTTATGATCTTTCTTCAGGCATGAAAAGTACAGTAGCTTGAATTTATTGAAGATTTCCGACTGGAAATAAGAAGTTATGAATGTAAGAAATAGTAAAAACTGCAAAATGATAAATAAGGCTATTACTTAACATCAGCCTCAGTTATCTAGGGTCTTGGGAGTGGTAAACTGGATATGGTCCTAACCTTTTGTCATTTTTTTTGGGCACAAAGTGGCCACTCTCAGGCCCGAACCTGTGTTCCCATATAACCCAAATTGATGAAATGGTTTACCTGTCAATTAACTAACTACTAAATAGTAAATTTCCCTCTTTTTGGTATGAACATACTAAAGTCACTAATGTTATGAAGTTACCCAGTGTCAAGTAGTCCTTATAGAGTCCTTATTTATTTATTTATTTTTCATTGTGGGGGGATTACCTACATACAATAGAGTTACAGGAACCTGAAATCTCTCTCTATACCAGCATGTTTCTTTATTATATTTAGATTTTAGAAGTAAATTTTATGTATCATTAACTGTTATACAACTCTTCCATATTTATTAATGTTTATTTTGATATGGATCCTTTTTTTCTATACCAGGAATGAAATAGACTGGTGATTAGTATTTCAAGTTTGATCCTAAGATGCTCAGGGAGTATTAAGGGTGATACCATTCATTACCTTCCCTGTGTGGTTCCAGGCAAAATGGATCAGCTAGGTGCTTGAGTTGTTGGTAGAGAGCACTTGATGGCCTAGATGTTGAGGGCCTTGAGGCTTGAGCTGTGCCAAGTTGGACCTCCTTACAAAATAGCAGAAATGTCTGTCTTAATATAATTTGGGTTCTGTTCTTACTTTCAGCTTTGATCTTATTCCTGGTAACTTGAGTAAGTATTCAAACCTACTTGAATTATTTTTATTAAATTTGCACCTTTCAGAGTGAATAAGAAATAGGGATTTTTCAAAGGTTTCTTTTGTTGAGTCATTCTCTCTTTTTTAAGTGTTATATTTTAACAGAACCTACTGTCTGAATTATTACTCAGGTATGAGAAGGTTTCACTTCCATCTATTAGTCCTCTCTAAAAGGAATTGACGATCCTCACAACCACACATGACCTGTACTTTTAAGCAAAAAGACCAGAAGACCGTTAAAAGCATTAGGGGGTTGCTGTTCAAAGTAGTAGTTGGGTAGTACAACAGCAGTTGAGCAGTTCAAGTTGAAAACATTGTTAGCATTCCAAAGCAGGTGGTGTCCATTGGTGGTAGCCAAGTAATGGGAGACGAGAGAAAATTTTAGGCCAAAGCATAAGAAGCAAGGGGCTTTCATTGTCAACTAACAAATAAAAATACTGTATCAGCTGGTTCTATTAATCATCATAAATTGCATTTTGGGTAAAGGACTTTCCTGACTATTCCTCTCCTGTAGCGTGAAGTGGGAAGATTTTGTTGATTGGATACATACAGTGACTGTTATGGCATCAATATTGTTGATATACTATGACAATACATTGACAGTAACTAGAAATTTTACTTTTCCCATCAGGGAAGGGATTTCCAAGGATAAAAATGAAAGGTGGTATTTGCAGCTTGTGATTCTGTTAGTATGATTTGGTGCTTGTATGATTTTGTCATATTTTTCATTCCAGTAAAGTTTGTGTGGTTAAGAAAAGTTTTAATACAAGGCCACTGTTTGCAGTACAGACCACCATGACCAAATCATACGTGGGTGAGCTTTATAAACTTATTTGAAGGAGAAAAATTGGAAGTATTTTAGTTTCATTATCTAAAGGTCAGCAAATTGGGGTTCGGAAAACTTTCTGTTCCTAGTTAAAGGTCTCCAACTGGAAAAACAAGAGTGCAGGTGTTTCATAAGCAGTTTTCCAACCCAACTTGGGTGAAGCACTAATGGCATCACCGCATCATGTTGGTGTAGAGAGGTGTGCCATGAATCCAATTATGTGGGGCAGTGGAAGGAATGAAGAATTGAGTCCCATAAAATGGATCACCAAAAGGGTAAGGTTTTAAATTCTATAATGGTAATAGTTATTTATTGCACATGCCATTGTTAATCACTGTAAAAGATTATTTTATAGTCTTATAATTTCTAAATGTCAGAAATCATAGATTGCTGCACGCAAGGAAAGACCATAGGTTAGCTAGGAATTATCCACTGCCCTTGGCCGATGAATTCTAAAACCAAGTGATGTAGAAGACTAGGAACCATCAGTAAGACGTTAAACATCTGAGCAGACCAGATTAACCTGAACTATGCCTACTGGCTTCTTATCTTTGACAACCTTTCTATCTTTACCTGCATGAGTAATGGTGAACCGACATAAGAAGGGAAGGTAGAAGAAACAGTCAACGGGGCAAAGAAGGGAAGAACAGTTGTAAATCGTGCTCATTACATCGATTTCATAAAGGTTAGCCTCATAGCCTGGGAGTAGTCTCAACTCTCAAGAAATCGTTTCATTGTCTTTTGCATTGTGGTTCTTTTTCCTAGATCCTGGCACTATGGGTTTGACCCTAAGGGATGAAGTTGTGACCTGTAAGAAGGGATGAAGTTTTCATCCATGAAAGATCAATCCTTATTTGTGTCGTGGAGTGGTGGATTCCAAATTAAACAGTAAAAACATGTATCTCCGTTACGTTTTCCGTTTCCTCCTAAAGCTCCAAAATACCAATAGCAATGCCAAAGTTTTTAAACTCAAGTTTCTTACCCCGGCCGGAGTTCTGGACTGGACATGGTGTATTTGTTTGGAGGTGCGTAATAAGATGATGCTTTGGATCCCTTACCTTCTCGGGCGAAGGAAAGGTCAGTCCAGTCCAATGTCCAAGTACACCACCTCACATGGCAAATGCTGCAAATAAAAAAGTTGTGTGTTGGGGATGCCTGAATCTTGTCGAGCCATCCTGAGGCTCCTTGGGTAATGGCCATGGCCAAAACATTATCTATGATGATGAGGCATCGTGAAGTGATGTGGTGTTGTCCGTCAAGGCGTCAACGACGAAAGTGCCCTCTGCGGTGGCGCCAAACTTCCACCTCAACAATCCAGACCGTGTCGATAATGATCGTCTGTTGTCTGTCCCAAAAGCTAGCTGTTATGCATTGGACAAATGGACAAAAGCGATGGAACTGGATTGCTATAACCATTTGAGATCGACCCAAAGTCCATGATTGATGACAAACACTTTCTACATCTACAGAACAACAACTAAAGCGAAATAGTACATGGAGTATGATGAGTATGAGTAGTCTCTCTAATGAGCTTACCAGAGCAAGGAAAAAAGAGAGGGGAGACTGGGAGAGTTATGAGTGTTGTGGTGGGAAACCGGGAGTCCACTGATATTAGATATTACAACTTCCCTGGTCCAAGCACAATATACAACTCGAGAATATATAGCTCCCTAAAAAAGTAAAAAGGATCGCTTGTAAAAGTAAAAACATCCAATTCAGATCATTTGTGCACCTTACGCAACCAAAAAGCCTTCTTTAGCAAGATTGTAATGTTTCCTTTGTGTCATTAAAGCTCTGTCCTTTCTAATTCTGTCTCACTAGTCACTACTTTTGCTTTTTTAACTCGGAAAATGAAAGCTCAAGAATACAATGGCCAACCCTTCTTCCGCTTTCCTCTTCTAAAGCAATAATTATCCATACCCACAATCACAGACACAGAGAATCTCTCTCTCTCTCTCTCTCTCTCTCTCTCTCTGTTGAGCCATGAGTGTTGTGAACCAAAATGCACCAACTTTCTGCCTCACTCCCAACAGCATGAGCATGCCATGACCCCGTCGACCGTCGTCTCATCCATCTCTCCTTGAGCTTGACTGAGCCTCCCATCTCTTCATAAACTCTAACAGTATTGCATTCCACGTATCAGTGGGTCCCGGTAAGCACCAATGAACGCAGTCGTTCTGCACACGCTCCGGGATGCCATTGGCAAAAGGGAAAGGGTACATATACGGGCCAGGGTGGCCGTCCGGTCTCATCCACGATAATTTGGTCACATCCAATGCTTCCAACCTCAACCCGGCGACGCTGAGTTGGCTCGCTTTCTTCTTGGCCGCCTCCACCTCCTCCATTTCTATCCTCCTCATCTCTGCATCCATTGGTTGAAGCTCTTTCTCCCCTTCTGTGAACGGCTTCTTCTTCGGACAGGCCCCTGCCTTGTCCCATTCCCCTTCAAAATGCGAAGGTGAGAATGTGGTCACAATCACATCCATTGCACTACGCCTGTCTAACACAGCCTCAAGTGTTGTTTTCAAAGCTTTCCTCAACACATCGTAGAAACCAATCTCAGTGTGATTGAGACCAGGGCAATAATGGCACCCTAGTACTACTTCCCTCTCGAAATAAACTGCAGGATGGAGGAACCAGTGACCCACAGATAATACTATCATGTTCATCCCATCTAGATCCGATGCCCATCGGTCGTCAACGGAGTCCAAATACAGTCTGTTGTGATTGAAACCCGTGTTCGATTTCTCGATTCCTTTCACCAGGAATGGCGACCAATAAATTGAAACATTGATGTTATGAGAAGGAATGTACCATCTCCGGAACTTGTTATCGTCGCCGTTTCGGTAGACAAGGTCAAGAGTAGAGACGGTGGAGAGTAGGCAAAGTAACGATTCCAACTGGTTTCTGGCCATGGAATCGCCGATGAAAGCCAAATGTTTGTCCTTGAGGAGCCGGAGGAAGGTTGTGGGTTCAAACTTCGGGAGCGCACACCGCTTTGGTTTCCACCTCCAGTAGAGGAAACCCACATCAGGTCTTCCATGGCTGATGCAATTTTGGCCTTCCTTGATCGTACTGCAGCTTGTGCCGTTATAGAGAGGGCCCGACTTGTCGCGTACCCACTTGCCATCGGTGTAGTCACATGGGGTTTCGTTAGACCTTTCTTCTTGAGCTGCAAAAGGAACAACATATAGAAGACGATCCTCCTCTTAGTGACACAAATGCATCGCAAATTAAATCAGGAGAAGGGAGCTAAACATTCAGAAAGGTAATTGCAATGGAGAAGCCAAAAACAACAGAACAGACACATGGGCAGTTTTATATTAGGGTTGATGGAACTTTACCTTGAGAGGAGACGATGATGTGTTCGTTTTGGGGGACTTGATTGGGTAGAGATTGCGTTAGGGGAACATGGTAGAAGTAAAAATGAATGAGAGTCAAGGGAAGAAGAGCAAAAAGAGACAGGGTTAGGAGCTTCTTTGCCAGGGAGGAGTAGTGAGGTTGGGGTTTGAAATATTGACTGGTTATACCCATCTCATCTCATATCATTCTTTCTTATTCTTCTTCTTTACTCTGCGTTTCCGTGTCCCGGGTGTTGTTCCGTCGAGTGCCAGATTGAGACTTTGAGAGGACACGGCTCTCCTGAAAGAAGGCCAACCTTCCTGGATTAATGGAGACTGGAGAGAGAGAGAGAAAAAGAGAGAGGCAAGTGATCAAGCGGGCTTTTGGGTGGAGGTTACAAAAGGGTTGGTAATTGGTTTATACCTCTACGCGGTGATTCAGCGGAGGACACAGAGAGAATGGAATCTCATCAGGTTTAGTTCGCCTTCTCTCTCCTCCCGAAATCTCATATCTTTGGTTGACTGGGCTTACACTATCTCAGTCAAATTTTTTAAATTACCCTTATGCTTTAACTAATTGATTTTATCCTTATTTTACACGTATTATCTAAGAGTATCCCTAAGTTTTTCGACAATTTACTATGTCCTCCTTGTCATAAGCCATTAACATCCCTTAAGGAAAAGAATGAAAAAGACTATTTTACCTATTATTCTCCATTAAATTTTCAAAATGAAACTTTAACCCATTCAAACCTATGATTCGACAACTTCAATCGACAAAATCGTCGTTGCAGTTGCCGCCAATTATGTTCATCAGGTAAGAACGGAATCACATCTCTGAATATGAACGAATGAATCTTTGATGCTTCAATTCCTCCATGATGACCTACGGGGGAGAAGCAGGGGAAAGAGATGTGACCGCAATATGAGAAAGAACGGGGTTGAACCGTTCTCGTGTTACGGTGTCAGCGGTTTTGCACTACGGGGAAGAATGGGGTTGAGTCATTCTGTAGTTGCAATACGGACGGAGGTGACGAAGGGGGCAAGGGCAACAGGGGATGGGAGGTAGGAGTGGACACGTCCACCAGCCGCTATCCCTTTCTCCCGAATTTGAGTTCAACCAGCCGCTGTACATCCACTGATCCCATGTCCACAGGCGATAGGAGAGCCCTTTCTCCCAAGTGAGTATTGCACGGTTAAATCGATTCTTTTCTTTTGGTAAACATTTGATTCTTTGTTTTTATTTCTTTTTTAATCATTAATTTGTTAAATTATTTCTAGTTTCAGTGTTGAGATATCCTTTTTGTGATTAACCCTAAACCCCAATTTTTGGCCAATACGTGATGTAAGCTATGGCAGGCCTCATTTTCAGTGGAGCAAATCACAGACGCACATCTGCGCTCTTGTGGCTTATCTGAGCCAGAGTTGCAACGACAATAGAATGGATGACTATTGCCCGAGTATGGCTATGATCAGTCATCTCAGTAAATCTGAATAGTGTTTTGGCCTGAAATGATTGCTACAACAGGGGGTCTCAGCTATTATCGTCCGAGACCATTTTTTTCCATCAAACTGCAATGCTGACTCGGGCTTAACCAGGAGATTAGCAATAGAAAGAAGGGGCGACATTTTAGGTGGGAATTTTGATTAAAAGAATAACGAGAAGAAAATAGATTTAACAGATGGCCACATCACCATATCAGTTCAGCCAATGAAAAAAATCAGGGGTGCGGTGATGCTCTGTTTCTCCGCTAATTACAGCCGTGGGTGAAGAGGACGATAGAGATGGAACCACCGGAGGTGTCTTTGAGTTTCTCGAGAAGAGATAGAACCACACCAAATAAGAGGAGCAGAACGGGGGATGAAATCAGAGTGAGAGATGAGAGAGAAGAAGCACTGCTTAAACAATGCCTACGTTAACAATCCGGAAGTGGGAGAGAGAGAGAGAGAGAGATTTGAAAAGGTATTTTTGGAAAAAGTATCGTGCGTGATGTTATATGTGAGTAAGTGTTAGGACCGAAAAATTAACGACAGCAGAGGGGAGGTTTTTACATAAAGTTAAAACCATAAGGATAGTTTATTAAAAAAAAAAAAAAAATTGCCCTTTTCGTGTAAAGCGTAAACTGCGCCTAAAAGTGGAGGTGGAGGAGGGATGGAATCAATGGAATGGAAGAGTGACCATTTCTTTGGACTTTGTACACTCCTTGCGTGCATCAATTGTCATCCATCTACTCAACTCAATACTCATCTATCGCGCTTTTATTAGCCTCCATTTCCATGTCCTCGTCACCAATCACCATCTAGCCTTCTCACCCAATTCGCAGTGGTTTGCGTGATCTGATACCATTCTCCTTCATCCTTGTTTAATTGCTTTCCATGATATAAATACATAAATGTCGTCTCTACTGCCAGGTGCCAGCCCAGCCAGCCTCAGGAATCAGGATGCTGGAGCTTCTTCATTAATTCATTAATATTTAAAGACCAAAAATTAAGAAACAAAGTGCTCATAATTCAACACCTGCTCACAAATCACAATCGCATCACATGGGGTTGATGAATTATTCAACAACAATTAAAACAGCTATTACTACTGACAACTTTCTGACTTTTTGTTTGTCTGCTCTCCAGTCTCCCCTGCTACCAAACCAGCTAACGTTCGGTTGTCGTTTGCATACCCTTGTAGAAATACATTAATAATAATCAAAATGAAATACTCCATTTTCACCAACTAAACCATAGTCATAAAAAGTTGTTTCCTTTTCTTTTCTTTTACTCCCTTTAACCTGCAATCCTTCAACATTTGGGCTTTGGCAGCCGGCAGTGCCTCCTCCAAATGGCAGACCCGATCCCCGATCCCTGATCATGTTGAATTTATATAAATGCTCCCTGTTCCAGATGTGTATGCGATGTGTCCCCAGCATTCAAAATTTTCAAATGGGTGTCAATCAATTATTATAATTAGGATAGCACAGGTTTGAATCAAGCTTAAAATATCGGTACAGGCGTATCGACCTGTATCAAAGTTTGCTCCTCCCTTTCTTTTCTTCAGGGGTCGGTACAAGGCTGATCTACGTACTCAACCATGTCAAACCTCGATACCACTCTTGTAAGGGAGTATCGAGTTAAACTACCCATATCATATAATACACCCCGTATCAAGTGTACAATATCCAAATTTTGAAACTTGATTTAAACTGATTCCATTATAATATCATAATCGGAACGGATAGGTTGTTTATCTAAAATGTAACTATTCCCGATTAATATCATGACATCATTTCATTTCAGGTTTAATTCCAAAGAGATGAATTCTTTTGCAGAAAAGAAATGATTGGGCAAAATTTTCAGTAAACCCATCAAGCAGGGAAGCCCCTAAAACTGTAGCCATGTGGCAAATTCAATACACCAAAAATCTTTATCTTCGGATCATATATTGGTTCAATTCGTCCAATCCAATATAAATATATCCAATCTTTATTGTTCCGCCCAATCCCTCCAAATTGAATTTAATTTTGACCTATCCAACCCAAAACCGGTCCATTGATACACCAACATGGGACGGTGACCAATGACCAGGTTCATGTCTTAATTCATAAATTAAAACATGGAACTGGAAAGGGAAGGTGGGGACCACCTTCCAAACCACTTAGTCGTGGTTTAACTCTATCCACCACTTTCTTATTTTTACCCCCAAAAAGAGGCATTCCCAAATACTTTTCTCGTCCACCTAACTCACCCTCAAACTTCTTGCGATCATCCTACGGTATTCTGGTGAAACAATTTTGCTAAAAAATGTCCCCAGCTTGGAGTAGTTTATATCTTTCTCTCAAGTCTGAATACTTCCCAAATTCACTTCACAGTTCACACAATGATGTCTTTCCAAAGGGCAATAAATCAGCAGATGGGAAAGATATTGCATATAAAAATATATTACATATAAAGATATTACGCACACTTGTATGAAGCTTATAACTGATAAACTAATATAAATTTTCTGTACATGTACAAGTTAATAAGTAATCAGTTTTTTTTTACATTTTTTAATTCGTTTGTCATTTTAAATATAATAAGATAGGATGCAGATTAAATAGAAATAGATCCTGTCACATTTGTCAGATTTTGTATCTGATTTTAGATCCAAATATTTGATAATCAGATTAGATGTGGATGCAACTGAATCTAATCTGATTAAAGCCCTACACACTGGCTACAAGACCCTACATCTGCACATGAGAAATTTCCACAACTTTTCCAGCCCGATGGTCAGAGTTTGCCTACCATTGTCACGGTGGAGCTGGGTTGGTTGTCATGCTTCACTCCCATGCAATCATTTATCAAACTAGCATGCGGTTTGTATATAATTAAAGCAAAAGTGGGGGAATAGCCGAATAGGATTAAAGGGCAAGATACACCATCGTTTGATCTATGTCAAAAGCAGTACAAGTCCTCGGTTTTGCTACTTTGCTCCCGTCCGGCAAAAGAATGACGGCCTCTACAAGAGAAAACCTCCACATCCTAACAAGCATTCTTATTTCTTACATTCACTATGTGGACAGAATTAGCATCTACGCATATCGTCCCTCGACTCATGCAGGCTGCAGCAGCCCATCTGGGTTTTCGTATAATCGTATTAACATCCCATCTGCACAGATATCTTAAATTTTGATACACTGCAATTCACCTTGGCAACAAGACCAGAGTCGATGGCCTCCATCTCTTCATTCTGAGTCGTAACAGGAACACTCTGAAGGGAGTGTAGGTACTCGTCTACAGAAGCAATCAGTAGAGGTTTATTGATTAAAGATCCTCTCTAAACAAACAGCGAATCAGGGAATATACGAATCTCCCGAGGGATTACTCTTTCCACCGAGACTAAAACATGTGGATGCTTCATAGTTCATACATTTTTTTCCTTGCCTTGTAAACTACTGTCAAACTAATGCACAATAATGATTTTAAGGAAATCGAGGGCCAAAGCAAGGCTTCCCAATTTCATTCTAACAAAAATAAAAATTAGTCTCTGAGTGAAATTTCCGGTCACGATACCTGAATATCTTCACCCACCAATAGAACTCCATCACCACCATTCCTTTTAAAACTTTCAATCAGAATATACTCACCTGTGTACATATCACCTTCCCATACACAGCAAAATACGAGGGATAGTGTAGATGCGGCATACACCAGCAAGACCAATTAAATCGAGTATGTTATACGTTCATTGCGATGTTGACATTCGACAATGTAACCCAGATAGCATCCAAAACAAGTACCTTTTGGTAGGGTTAAAAATGAAAATAAAAAAAATATATACATCACACGAACATCAGCATGACATGCAATATCACGGGACCAAAAACTTTCAATTACCAAAATTTGGTTGGGTCAAAGGCTAGATTATAACTATATACGCAAGAAAAAAAAAAAGAAGATATAAATTAACAGCAAAGAGAATATAAAAAGGGGCTTCTCATCAGGCAAGTTTATACATCGAACCCCGTTCACAAAAGGTCCGCACCAATAGAGGGAGCAGGGTGTGACCCCACGGGGGAACAGTCAAGGCATTGACACCAGTGTGGAGAACCAATTTCGAAAAAGTGTCTGGGCAACATAGCTCAAATGCTTTTCAACAGTTAAATATCTACAAAGGGAAACTTATCTGCAAATGAAACCTGCCCAGAACATGTTAGAGGAACAAGCAGCTTCCAGACCCCGACCAATTCTCTCTTAAGTTACAGTTGGTACAACGGAAGAGGTGGTGGTCGGAGACTATGAACATGTAGAAGGAACTCACTTACCACCCATCCTTCCTCCAAGACCCCACCAATTAGACAGAGATCCTCCTATGTTAGCTGATGCTCATCCTGGTAAAGCTGGAGTTAAAAAAGGGACAACAAAGACGAGGAATGAAAATCTTGGAAGCAAATTAGGGAATCACAAAAATGACAACAAATCAGGAAAATATGCAAATTTCAGTGAGAGAAGTTTCTTCACAATACTTTCCACGCTGTAGTACAGCCCAAGTGTAGGTATCATCTAAAACCTGCGTAACTTGCCACATGTTACATATTTGGAAGATTAGTCCATATACAATGTCTCCTCTGACAAAGAGATTAACTGAGACAAGAGTCAGACATGAATGCAAGTGTATTTCTAATGTAAAGTTGATCCTCTGCATATGTCCCATGTGGCAAGTCATTGGCCCAGATACTTGGACTGGATGAGATCCCTAAATAATTGCATGTAGTGCGTGCAACCTTGATAGTCAGCACTTAGTGATAGCATATTATAGCATCAATGTTTAACCAAGAGAAGAAAGTTTCATATCTTACCAGGCCTTAGGGTTTGCATAATTGTTCTCCCAAAGTCTCCTACTGCCATGAGGATTGTTTGTAGTTAAACCTCTCCACATCCCACCCTCCTTCAGGCTCCTTCCTCTTCAACACCCCACCTGCTGCCTGATACATCCTTGTTTGTTCCTCTAATAGGGCCTGAGAATTGGCAACTGAGAGTTGCCTTGGTGCTGAAGGCAATCTCTCATCTCTTCCTTCCAAATCTGTAGGTCCTGGACCTGCATTGAGATCTAGGCCCTGCCTTCCCCACTTTCTACTGCTCTCAGCGCCATTGGTTGAACTGTCTGGGAGGCTTATCACATAGGGCCTGGGATAATGAGATGACACTGCCCCAGCAGGAAACTGTGAAGGGAAACAAATACCTCCACTAGGAGAAGAATCAACATATGCTGTTGAACCACATGAAAAAGAGGTTGAAGGTAGAGGAAAACTGGTACCAAAAGGGAACCCAGGATATGGATATGAAGCAGCAGACGGAAAGGCCACTGCAGGAGAGGATGATAAAACTGGCCCTCTATATACATCAGGACCATAAGTGGTGCCACCAGTAGGGGGTCCCAATATCCTTTGTGCCCCACTAGTCGCAACAATTGGGTAAGGCTGCTCTCCTCTATCAGGCAAGATTGATGGAATGGTAACAGCTGAATAGGAGTTCACAGGAGGGAACCATGATGAGAGGTTTCCTAGTTCGGTGTTATTCATTCTAAGCCCAGCAACTGGTGGAAGAAAGGGCACACTGCTCTTGGCATGCTGATTTCGTGGTGCCAGTTCAGTACCCATTTCATCAAGGCCTGGTCCATTATTCAAATCAAAGTCCCTCAATACATTAACCTCACTGTTAGAATGCCCACTAGATGATGATGATCTAACAGACAAAAGAGGGACTTCTACTCGACGACTAGTGCTTGCTGAAAATTGCCCAATATCAATACCCTCATCAACTCGGTTTAAATCAAGATCAAGTCCAGCATTACGAGAAGGGGTAGAACTGAACATCTCACCACGTCCCAAATCACGACTGTTAACCATCCCAGATTCCGAACCTGTTTCATGTGCAGAGCTCTGAGGGGCAATGTCCTCAAGAACTCTCTCATCTGCCACATTCAAGTCAATATCCAAGGGAGGACGACTTTGTTTGCTAGCAGTGGCATCTGGAGAGATATCAGCTGTACCAAGTGGCATCTCAAGAACCTTTCTAGGTTCAGCTGGACGGAATGCACTGGTAGCAGCTGATCCTTTCCAACCAAGTTCTCCTTTACTCCTCATCAAGTTCTCTGGAGGAACAAAAGGCCCTTTCAAAGCAGAAGCCACTGTAATGGAAGCTGGAAGACCGGTAGACATGGATGAAACCTGGAAAGGTAGAGGGCTAGGCAGATGAACAGCAGAAGCAACTGGCTCCCCTTGGTGCCCTTCATCCACAGGGAAGCCTTCATTCAAATCAAAGTCCAGCTTCATAGCCAAATCAGAGCCTCCTGCAACAGACAAGGAAGAGGCTTCTGCAGCAGATGTGCGTTCCTCCATATCATCTGCTTCATCACCAGTGGATTTAACACCCTGACCAGTTTCTTGCACAGGAATTGTAGGTGGCTCTCCATGAGGAGCTAATGACCCATTGAGGACATTCTTATCCTGTGAATGCTCCTCGGCCTTTTCATTTTTCTGATCTAAACCAACAGAACTTACACCTGTAATTTGATCATCAAGAGGTGGCGGAGGGACATTACTTGCATCTTCCTTTCTCTGATTCTCGTTCTTCTCAACAAGACTCTTCACCTCCATGCTACTTTCAGCCTTAACTTCATCAATATTTTCTGGACCCAAAACTTTACCAGAACAAGGAAGGACAGCATCATTGCTTCTCTCACCTGTAGCCTCCATGCAATTTGCATCAACAGGAAGTAGCTTCTGCTCTGTTGAAATGCCAGCATTCAACACTTCATGCACAAGATTCTTGTTTTCACCATCCATTTCAGAAGCTGGACACTCTGATGATTCATCAACAGTTTCTTTCTTGGCTTTCACAACTGAAACAGTGTTGTCAGGACCACATAGAACACCTACAGAATTTCTAACCAAGTCTGATGCTGTTGGCATACTACTACTATCGGCAATCTCCTCATCTGCATGATTATCACTCTTTTTTTCATCCAAGGGATTCTTTGCCTTTGATTTCATATCTGGTCCAGCATCAGTACCAACCAAACCCACCTTTTTATCATTAAGTTGATTGGCTCCTTCACACTCCTTAGTATCCTCCATTGCTTCTGCAGTTGACAGATCCAAAGAAGCAGCAGCCATTGTCTCATCAAGTCCCCCATCCGACTTCAAGCACGAGTCTGCAATTTGTTGCAAAGCCACACTGGAAGAATGAAACTGCTCATTGCGCTCCACTGTTGGCTTCTCTTCAAGCAAAGCTGATGTCATTTTGCGGCCTCCTGGGGAGAAAGGAAAATAAGGTCAATACATTAGTAACATGTTGTAATTCCCACATAACCCATGAAGAAACAATAACATTACCATGCTTCTCAGTGTCACCATCTGTGCTATCATCAGGATGACCTTGATTTAGAGCCCCAACATCTTCTCGTGACACTCTCATCTTCCCACTGTTACCCACATAGTCATCTGCCACAGGTGAACTACTCCCAGGAGAACCAATTGGAGAACCTAGATCAGATTTTGACATTTCTCCAGCTGCCACACTGGCAAGCAAATTCATTCCAACGTCATCACCTGCTGACATAGTTGCACTTGCTTCAGAGTACTTGGCACAGCTTTCAATCAAAGCATTTATAGAGCTGAAAGATCCATCAAACAATTTCCCTGATTTCTGGTCATTTCCTGATGATGAGCAGGTCACTTTAGATGCTTCCATTGTTTTCCCAGTCTCATCACTGTTTCTGCAACACTCTTCATCAGGAACAGCAGCAGGTGATCCATCACCCTCATCAGATGCAACCAATCCATCTTTCATATCATTGCTCTGCCATGACTCTGTATTTACATCTGTCACATTATTAGCACGTAAAGCATCATTCTTCCCCTTCACTTTCCGGTCATAGTTATCATGCTTCTCAGAAAGTCCTGGAGAGGAAGCTCTGCTGACCATGACAGAGGGATCATCGAAAGAACCTCCACTAGCACTGCGTGCAGGACTGCGGCCAGGGTTTGGAAATCGAACAATCAGTCTATGACTATTGCCATGATCAACAACACTAGGCATATCATGTGCTCTTTCAGATGTTATTGCAGGTTGTGATACTTTTTCTGAGTTGGCATTCCTGTTCAAGGAACTGCATTTGCCCAATGTAGTTTCCTTCTGAACTCCAGAGACAGATGCACCTGTGAAACCATTGCTTGATTTCCGATGTCGAGAAGCACTACCAGAGGTCTTATTCACACTCATGGATCCAGCAGTTGAACTCCTAGCATCCTCCTTTGAAGAAGATCCCAAAGTTTTTGCATGGTCACTTGAACAAGATTGGCTATTGTTCTGAGATTGGCTTGAACTGCTGCTCTTCTCTTCCCTAGCTGTTGTTGGAGGCAGATCTGATGTGCCACCACCAACTCCCATTTTACAGTGTACATCCTTTGAGCTAACAGACATTGATGCTGACAATGGCGTTGACATTTTGACTGATCCAGGGGACGCTGATGCTGATTTAACAGAATCCCCATGGCCAAGCTTAACTGGTACTGTTTTAGATGCAGAAGGCTGTACAATGGAACTCTTCATAGCAACTTCAGCAGATCCTCCTGTGCGCCTATTTCCTCCATGAGAAACTTCAGAAAAACCGGGCTTGCTAGGCCATGAAACAGCTTGGCTAGACCCAGATTTTGCATCATTTATATTCATTTCTGCTTCAACTCGTTTCTTCCATGTATCAACTAAGCTCCTAGCCTTCTTTTGAATTTCCAAATTTTTATGACTGCGCAAATTATTCACAGATTTGCCAATCTGACATGCCTGTAGAGCATGTAGATTAACAGGCAACTTATCAAGTGCACGAAGCAAAGCCAGGAGAAATTCTTCAACAGTCTTATCACTTTCCTTGGGGCTAGTACTGTCACCAATCTTTCCTTTATGCACCTCTTGTAGCCATTCATCCAACACAGGAAGGCCCCTGAGATGCACAAAGCGCCCAAGGCAATCAAACCTGTCTGTGGCCGCAATCACATCAGCAAGCATTATTCTACCAGCCAAGTCCATCTTTTTTTCACCTCTGTCAGGTTGCATAAGTTGAATGAATTTCTCAACCCCTTCAAAATCTACAAGTCCTCCTTTCTCCGTTATTTTGGCAATCTCAGATTTAAGCATGTTTTCTGACCTAAAATGGCCAGAATCCCCATCATCTGCCCTTAAGGAACGTTCTCGTTTAATAGGCTCAGAGCCCGGATCACCCCGTTCCCCCCTCTTCCTACCCTTCACTTGAGAAGGAAATGAGGATGCACTGTTCTGTACACTATCTGAACCAGGCTTTAACTGCGATGTTGATGATGGACCATTCAATGGTTTTGGAGAACGCCCTCCTGACTGCACTGCCGCTTGCATTTCTTGTCGTGTTTTGTCTAGTAGCTGATCCACTTCTTCCTGTCGTTCCTGCAGAAAATTTGATAGATATAATAAGACATTAAAAAAACTAATAAAAAGAACCAAGTACTAATTTAAGCACTTACATTGACATAATCTTGATCAGTTAGCCACCATAAACACTTGTTTGCAATGTCATACACTCGCCTACACACAAATGAGGATAACCCTGAAGGAAGTTCAACACCTTTACGAAGGAATGCAACTTTACACGGATGGAGTAACGATGCAGCAGGTATCTCATCCTTGTGAAAAGAATAAAAGACTTCGTTTGGTGCTGCTTCCAGCAAAATGCCTTTAGCTAGCTTTACTTCAGCAGGTCGGTAAAGCCAGTTAACTCCTAATTTTAGATTATCCTCCTTTCCTGTTGTTAGTGAACGAATTATTCCAATAAAAGGTGGGGACTCTTTCGGGGGCTTGAAAAGAGCACAGTCACCAACACTAATCCTGCGTCCATCCTACAAAATAGGAGAAACTTCGGTTAAAAATATACGAAGTGATACAAATAGAGGATATTACAAAACCACACCCTTTTCACAACTGAGACAATAGATAATTGTATTGGAGGAGTATGGTAGAAAAACTAAAGATAGTACAAGTAGAGAAGAATGAACTGATCATATACAAATCATCAATGATGATTAATGGCTCACAGATTTATGGGCAACCACAAGTTTCAGGGTATCATATATTCCCATTAAGTATAATTCCAAATAAGTGAATAACTGTTCTCATGGAAATAACATCAATATATGGCAATAGTTTTCTTCAGTTATCAAACGTGAGGATCACAACCATTTGAAAATGGTTGCACTTTCTTGTAATAAAGCTCCCAAGCATATTCCACACAATAAGAAGCTACATGAGCCACATAACCATGGCAAACATTGCAAATCTATGAATCCACCTAAAATATAAGCAATTCAGCAATGGCAACTTATTACCTTTCGTTCTTTCTTTCTTTCTTTCTTTCTGAGATTGGTGCAAGGACAAAGTGCATAACTAAACGATTTCAAAGCATACATGTTTTTTTTACGCAAACAATAGAATAATTATATATTCACATAATTATAAAGTCAGTTACAAACATTTGTATTTATAGGCTAGGTATATTTACAAGCAAAATAGGCCAGCCCATGAACTAGACAGTTTTCTGTTTTAGGTAGGTAAACAAACGCACACATGATTACAACATTCATAATGACCATCCTCATCATAGTTGTCAATGTATTGCCTAAACAACAATGAGGCCCTGGTAGAAAACTAGAATTTGTTCAATTTCTATGCATTACAAACATCTGTATTTATAGGCTAGGTATATTTACAAGCAAAATAGGCCAGCCCATGAGCTAGACAGTTTTCTGTTTTAGGTAGGTAAACAAACGCACACATAATTACAACATTCATAATGACCATCCTCATCATAGTTGTCAATGTATTGCCTAAACAATGAGGCCCTGGTAGAAAACTAGAATTTGTTCAATTTCTATGCATGCTTTTTGGTATACTAGAACAATGAAACTAGAATTTTGCTTCTTTGTACTACCTAGGTAGGCATCTAGATGACTAGGTACTAGTTGAGTACTACACTGTTGTCTAGAATTGCCTATACACCTTGACAACTACGATGCAATATGCAAATAACACTGTCGTTCTCAATGTAGCCCAATTAAATGACGACGTTTATAGGTTAACACAACTCTGCAAATATTGAGATTCTTGTTCCACTAAACATACATGGATTAAAATTGGCATATCAGGATGTATTCAATTAAAAAGTGATCAGAAGGATGAGAGTAAACCATGGCTCAAAGTACCAATACACCCTGATATGGAGGAAGGGATGTATTGGTACTTTGTACCACACGGATCACCTTTTTTTTAGTTTTTTTTCAACAATATGACAAGGGGAACATTTAAGCATTGTTTAACATATAAAACAAGGGGTTTGGGATCAGCCTTAAAAAGGCGTACCAGCAAGGTGCCAATACGATACAATACAGTGATACACCAAATACAGGGCATATCGTGTCAAAATTTTGAACCCTGGAGTTAACCATTCATTGGCTCTTATGGAAAGAATGACACAATTGGATCTTTAAGACAACATCTTTGTCAAGAAATCCAGGGATTCATATAGTGCCTTTCAGGACCACGTGTCTAAAGAATTTGAGTATCCCAATCTTGCTTATGTTCAGTCACACTAAGGTTGACCCTCAAGTGGGGTTATGTTTGTCCTCTCATCAACATTTGTGTTTTCTCATTACATACCTATCTTGGCAGGTTACTTTATCTGTTCTATTTGCCTACATTTAATTGTTATACAGAAAAGAGAATCTCCACATGATCCATTTCTTTTCTTTTATACAACCCGCTCCTACCAATCCATGAGAGGGATTTCATTCATGCATGATCAATTTTTATTAGAGGGGATAGAGCTCATTAGTAAAAACCACTTTGGGATTAAGTTGCTTAATTTTTATGCCATTCACGCAGCAAAGCCCAACATATTAGAACCTGAAAGTTTTTAGTTTGTTTAATCAGTATAACAACACATTAAGAAGGAACTCCCTTAACAAAAATTACGAAAAGGGAGGGCATAATTTCCTCTAAGCCTTCAAAATGTCTTGTCTTAGGTACTTTGGTGGTTACCTATCAACAATAATACTCTCTAAACTGGAAAATGCATATTATTCATTTCTAGGTTATGCTTTGCAAGAGAAACAACAAACCATAAGTTTATTAATTGAAAATTTCACAATATTGTTAAGAAATCCAACATGAAAGTCAATTTAAGGAATATTTTAATCTACTGGAGCAAAATGCAGTTCCTACTCGTTTGAAAAAAATCAAGCTCTCGTCCCAGAAACTTATAAGCTCCTCCAGGAAATAGCTACCTCAAATAATCCCTAACACAACACAATGTTCTATATGCTTTCTGACTTCTTATTGATGCCAAGACGCCATCAATACCTCTTTAGATGGCCCACTTAGACTCTTTAGTTACATAGAAGCATCAAATAAGAAGGTAATTATCCAAAACCTAAAGATGCATCATTATAAATTTGATAAAGTACATTATCATTCCCAATCTGCTCTTCTTTCAAATAAAGCAGCACTTACTTACCAAGACCTACTTATCTTATGTATGTGCATATGTGTATGCTTCATGCTGTGTCCTTGTAATAAGCTTATAAGCAAGCGATTTGAAAGGTCCAGAATGATAGAAATACATATTCTGTGTACTTTCAAATGCTCAAATGGCCCTGACATGGTGGAAGGAGCCATCTATATGATCCTTCAAGACTATGCATTTTGATGAATGTCCTTTGTGAATAATACAACTAGCACCCTTGATTACATTGAGTTTTACCTCCCATATAGGTTGTGCCACCATGTTCTTATTTCTTTTTTCACTTGCATTTTCTAAAGAAAAAGAATATTTAACAGCGGAATGGTGAACCTAAAATGTAGCATAATAAACAGAAATAGGATTGGAACATATGAACTTTGGGCACGATATAAAGAAAACCAGAAATCCATATTAAAATTCAATAAATCAGATAAACCAAAGATAATGGATGTCTAAGGATAATAACAAAACAAAAGTATTCCACAATCACATTTGGCCGCTAAGAAGCAATTTCTTCAGAATTCAGAAGTTTTCATCTGTTTGAATTGGATATCATCTTGTATAGATACTTTTAGATTGGGAAGTGATAGAACAAATCTTTTGTCAAAAGAAGAAGATGATGAAGCATTACTTTCTAAAACATGAATATATTTATCAAAAAAAAAGAAGTATTACTTTCTAAAAATGTCACTATGCAGAACTTTGTTTTTGATTGGTGACTCATCAACATTTAATTAGTATGTGTAAAGAGTATATTTACAGTACAATTGATACAAGTAGCATCCCATTCATCCTTTAATTCATTAAGATTTGCCCCCTGCCTAACCTTCAATTGATCCCTCTCTACATTACATCACTCACCACCTACTTCAGTGTTTCCCCAGAAAAATTGCTCTCTACTAGTCCCATCTTGGCAGAATATCATCCATCTCCTTTACTGACGGAAGCACCCATGTGAAGGTTGTTTTCAACTCCGTTTCTATATTTCTTGCTTCTCTTTTCGTGTGTCTATGCCTTGTGGAACCAAACTGTCCTGTTTCAGCTAACCTACTATTATCTTTGAGTTACCTTCTACAATAAGAGCCTTCCCATACACATTTAGATGAGATCCACAATCTGTAGGGTTAATCCATAACCTCCTAAATGAATATGAACTAACTATGAGAAATCAGAACCAAATGATCACTTAAATGATAGTATTACTACTTCATAGGCCCAAGCATAAGGAAGATTTGGTAGTTTTACTTGGGTCAGACGAAGTATGCACCATACACCAACATTCCAAAAGGAAGCTATTCCAAGAGTCATATTATTGAGCATCCATCAAAATTAAGTTTAAGGGGTGAATATGAAGAAAGATTTAAGTATGCGGTTCTTCACTGAATTTTCTCCACTGTGAAGAATCTCCATTCAAGCACTCCAAATATCTCATACAGATCAAAACCCATCAAAGCCTATGGAAAAAGTTAACCCAGCAGAGGATAACCGACAAAAACCCCAAAATAATCTAGGTATCAGCAAAGCAATTCTACTGCAGATTCTTAATCATCAGAGAACCCAACTACTACTCACAAAATTCTTAAGTCGCTTTTCACCCTAATCCCCAAAACAATTAAATAGCTCCAGCAAAACCTACCAAAGATCCAAGGAATTTCCTTACCTGATGGTCCCGGTCAAAACTCCCCCCCCCAATATACACAAGAGAGAGAGAGAGAGGGAGAGAGAGAGAGAGGGGGAGAGAGAGAGAGAGAGGGAGAGAGAGAGAGAGAGAGCAACAAAGATAAACGTTTGAAATTTTTCATTGCCATCCAGAAATCCTTACAATCAAAAAATCCACGGAACAAAGTTCAAACCTTTCCTCAAAATCCACCGGATAAGAGAAAAGGAAAGCAAGCAAGACAATTGCGAATTCAATAACCATCCGCGATGGGCGATATCCTATAATTCCCAAAATCCATTTCATCTCTCTACCTGATACCCACCTAACGAAAGCTCCCAACAAAAAGAACGCGAACCAATCAGCATCAGGAGCAAATCAACCGAAAGCAGAATCGGGACAATGACGAATATCCAAAATACATGAAGGGGCGTCGGAGGGATACCTTGCAGAAGGAATCAACGGTAGATGTTATAGAATCAGAAGCTACAGTCGTCGTACCGAGCGCGGGGACCGGCCACATGTGCCGTCTCCGTTTCCTCTCCTCACCTTCCCGCCCATGCATAGCCTTGCATCCTCGCCGATTTTGGTTTGGATCCCACCTTCGTCCCGAACGAGAAACATCAATCCCGTCGTAATTCCACCACCCGATCGACAACAAAGCCCTAGAGTCCTCCGGTAATTCGCGATGCAGGAAACCCTAGATCCGTCCTCAAAACACCTATTACCACCTCCGAGCCCTCACCGAAAACAGAAACCCTAACTTCGGCTTGGTCGATGCCTCGAAACAAGGAACTACGAGATTAGGGCTCCAACTTGCACACGGCACAGATGGATTTGCCGATCGAATTAACGCCCCCTGATCCCTAGTTCAGATCCAGGAAGACAGATAAATTAATTCGAAGAGCGAAATCGAGAGATTTCAAGCCGCCTTTCAAGCGAGTATTTCGCGATCTGTGTATGTGTGGAGAGAGAGAGACGAACGAAATGGTGTTTTGAGACCACGCCAGACGGCAAAGCGAAGGGTGTACTTGGTAGCACAGTACGGGCAGTTCGGGTAGGACGGGCAGACCCCTTCTTTATTCTGTTTTAATACATTCACATTTACGAAATTTAGCTATGTCCACGAATTTCAGCGCAGGGCGCAGGGATTGTGCACTAACGTGCGCAGTTAGCATATTACTCTTGGTCTCTCCCAAGTCCCATATCTCGGTCAGGGTGTGGAGCGACTAGCGAGTAGCGAGGGAGTATGGAAGGAAGGATGGTCAAATTTCAACTACCAGTTTCCTTTTATTGCATGTTTCTCTGGTAAAAGTATCACTTGCTGCCTGCTTATAAAAGTTATCGGCATAAAGTGCCCAAAGTTTGATAATTACTTACAACCGTCTTGTTATAAATTTTATGTGATGACATGTTATTTTGCACATCGTCATCGGTACTACAATTTAAGAAACTGGAGCGTGGGCCACTGGAGTGGGCCTCATAACTTGTCATGCATCATATGTTCTCAGAATCAATGAATGGGTCCCTCCCATTCTCCCAAGAAGTTGCCTACCTCAAACATCATCATTTTCTCGCGTGTAGATTCTGTGGCCACGTGATTGGGATCTTCTGTAGGGGGAACCAATTCAATGGTTAGTGTGAATTCTCCACTCTCCGACGATGGAATTGAACTTCAAATGCCCTCCATCCCATGGAAGTCAAATGACTATCCTCCCGTATAGGGCTGAATATTCGGTTTATTCTGTTAAAAATCGAATTGAATAAATCGAAATTTTAAAAATCAAATTAAAAAATTAAAAATAAAATTGAAATTGAATTAGAGGAAAATCAAAATTTTCGGTTGATTTTTGGTTATTTTGGTTAAAACCGAATTTCAAATATATATACTATATTATATATTATATATGTATCATAACATATAATATATAAATATATATTATGAAATCAATTTTTATTATATTATACATTAATATATAAATATATTATATATTAATATAATATGTTATATATTATATATTACATGCTATATAGCAAAGTTCGATGAACTCAATTTTTTTGGTTAACCGAATTTCTAATTCTAAAAATCGAAAGAAACCAATACATTTAAAAACTGAAAAATAAAATGAATCGAATTAATCAAAAACCAAAATAACCAAATCAAAAAAACTGAAACTATAATTTTTCATTCGGTTTTTGTTTTTAACCGAATAATGCTCACCCCTACTCCGTTCTAGAACATCTAAAATCCTTTCAAAAATGCAGAATATGTAGTTAAGTTTCTTAAGAGAATGTTCTTAAGGCTTAGTTTGGAAGGAGTACAAATATAAATATGTAGAGTGCAAAACCTTTTATTTTGTATGTATTTATACTTCACATATTTGTATTTGTACTCTTTCCAAACTGAGCCTAAGAAATTTTGTAAAATTCCTTGCATGACAACTTTGCCTCAATTTTCTATTTCTCTCTTATTTTCCATCAAACCAACCATTTACACTTTAGAAACTTGAATAGTTATTCTATGGTATTTAAGGAGTGGTTGAGGGGAATTCCCTATATCCTAAGGTCCAAGGGGTAGTCAATAAAAAAAATTGTCAAAAAAAAAGCAAAAAAAAAAGTTTGAAATATATTGGTCCATTTAGTTATTAGAACTTTAAATTAAGAAAATCACAAGTCAAGATGCCCAGTTGATAGTTGCTAAGGTCTTTTGACCAGTTGTAGTGGACACTTGGATCAAAATCTACATACACTAGGGTTTGGGGTTATGCATTTGGGAATGAAGCCCCCCCTCCTTTTGAACCATCATTGGCCCATAAACTATCCAAGTAACCGGTTCCGTTTTACCCTTAACCTGTTCTTGGGCCAAAAAATGTTTATTTGGTCAAAGAACCGCTAACCTGGTAGTTGAACCATTTACCCATTTGACCCGAACAGGGGTTGGCAATTTAATAAAGGATCTAGAGGAGATTAAAGAGGGGAGGAACTGAGACAAGACCAATCTTAGATCTAAGATCACTAGATCCTAGGGACAGTAGAGTGTATGTGTGTGTGTGTGCGAGAGAGAGAGAGAGAGAGAGAAGGAAGGAAGAAGAAGAAGAATTGCACTTTAGCAGGGGTTGGAGAAAAATCTGATCTCAAATCTAAAATCAATAACAATCTTGTTTCGGCATTGTTGCCATCATCATCGCTGGCCAATGAATGTCAAATCCTCCCCCTCCTCTTCCTTCTTCTTCTCTCCTCCTCCTCCTCCTCTCACTCCCTCTTCCCTTCCTTCATTCATTTCCTTTCTTTCTTTCTAGCCGACAACTACATAGTCTCTCTTTTCTCATATTGATAGAAGTCTAAAAGTTACCCAAATAATCCAAACCGCCTGAACCATTCGACCTAGACGATCAAACCATTAACCCGAAAAACCGGTGGTCATAGTGATTCTGTTTCAAGGTTGCATGGATTTTAAAACCTTGATGACCATAACCTCATTGTAAAAAGAAAGAAAGAAAGAAAGAGGCAATTGTGTAATGTTTTGGGCCAATTTTATTCTCATGGTTTTATTAGCATATACAAAAACAGGTCTTAATGGGTATGCTTTCTACATAGCCTATAAATCTTAAAGGTATTCTCTTTGATGAAGAGTTGCATTTTTCTCAGGTCTAAACTAAAGGCAATGTTTTTGAACCATCGTTGATCCGAACGATTGGACCTGTTCGGTTCAGTCCTTGGCAAAAAACTATTGAATTGGTCAACGACCCATTGGCCCGAGCGGTCGAACCATCTACCCATTTGACCTATTCAATGGTTTTGATCGTTTTTTTATTTTAATTATTGTTATTTTTTTATTTTTTTTGTCAAAATGGGACATCTATTCAAATCAGACAATCGAACCATCAATCTAAAAAATGATGACCAGAACCATTCCAATTCCGAGTCATTTTTTAAAACATTGATTAAAAGTGATGGTTAGTATATTGTTAAGCTTATGCGGGCAGATTACACTAATCCGCCATGGGGACTTCAAATCGATATTGCTGATTGCATGGCTTTACTTCGACACCTTGATCAGTAGTTTCCTATGTCCCTCGCTATGGTAATAAAGCTGACCGTGTACTAGCAAAAAACAGTTTATCTCTTTCTAAAACTTATTGGTTAGATTTACCAGATTTTCTATGCTCAACTATTATAAGGGATTCTCCAACGAGTTAAAGCCGAATGAATTAGCCCTATGGGTTTTATTCAAAATAATAATAATAATAATTCAGTAAATATGATTTATGAAGCTAAGGTGATGGGAAGGAAAAGAAAAGAAAATGCATGGCATTTAACACAAACATGTGTTGTTGGTGTTGCTCGTGCGCGTAATTATACACAACACCACCTTTTCTTTCCCTCACTGGCCAAGTATACCTATAATTGTTATATGTAGCAAAAATTAAGAGCAGTTATGAGGTGCGGTCGGACGTGACATGGCACGAAGAAAACTCCCACTCTCTTAGCCGAGTACGGTTGATTTGGAGGCTGTTTGGTTCAGATTATGTTTATGGGTGATTGTGTTTTTTCACTTTAAATGTTTATTTATATTTTTTTACTTTAAATGTTTCATGTTGTTTGGTTGAGTTTCACTTTAAACATTTTTTATTCTTCATCTCAGATTAATACCCATTAAAATGTAACGTACCAACATTTGGTTTCAAGAAACATTGGGGTGTTGGGGGAAACAAGAATTTGGCGTTTCTCCAAATGCCCCATGCACAAAAATCAAATTGTTTCAGCTTTTTACCGTTTACACTAAACAGTTGTTTAATTTTGTTTTATATGCGCTAAACGCCAATACCTATGTGGCGTTGATGTGGTAGCGTTTTTTCAATAAATACCAACAGAATCAAACACATACTTGGTGACTTGCCAAATTAGTCGTATGTGCATGTGCGGTAGGCCTTTGCTCGTAGTCGCAAGGTGTAGGGTTTGGTGAATGGTGAATGTTGCTCAAGTTCAACCATGGCCAAAATTATGGCGATGTTTGGCATTAATGCCGTTTTCTGGAAAAGCGGTGCCACATAGGCGCCATATCAAAGAAAACAGTGCTTCAAATAATACCCTTTTGTTTGGTACCATTTTTTCAGAAAAAACGTTGCTCCATGCCACACCTTGGAAATTGGGAAAGTGTGGTATAGAACAACACTAAATTCAATGTTTTTTTGGAATAATGGTGTGTTGTTGCCAGTACTTATACCAAACAAAACCAATGTCGCATGGTGTGTTGTTACTAGTCCTGATGCCAAATAAAACCGATGTTATTTTTTCAAAAAAACACATATATGACAACACTGATTACAAATAAAAAATAAACAGTTTACAATTTCACATTCTCAACATGGGTTTTTTTTTTTTCAAAAAACAATGCAATATTCCAAACACCTACTATAAAAGGAGTACTCAAAGCTTAACCACCAATAGCCCGGCCTAGCCTGCCCTCATGATGATGTCCCCCGTAGATCAAGATGGGGACACCAACAACAAATTCTAGTAGAATCATTGTGGTGGCCCGGCCTGGTTCAACAAGACAACCACCACCCATAAACAAGAAACAACTCGATCGGTCTGAGACTCTGAATTGGTTGCATAGACAGTATATACATGGACCCACGTACGTATCATACAGCTAGCTAATTGGGGTAGAATAATTGATCAATACCATTTTTACCAAAAAAAAATGATCAATACCATACTTCATTATATATTATGTATTGATATAGTATTTTTCCTTAACCTTGCATTTTTAGCAAGGTTCAAAGTATTACTTAATATGATACGTCGGGATGTATAGTATTGTATCATGAGGGTTATTCTAATACATTTGTATAAAAGTGTTCTTAGTAAATTCTTTCATTATTGTATTAAATAATATAAAAATATCTGTAAAAATATAGCATTAAAAAAACAAAAAAAAAATAAATAAAATGCACATGTTTAAAGTATTGATGCACGGATGCACCCCTGCGGATCGTTTTGGGTGTGTCCATATTTTAGCAGAGGCAGATATATAATAGCTGTAATATATGTGCTCGCACAGGAGATGTTGAAAGAATTATGAATTTGATAGGAATTCTATCTAGACATTCTCTTTGATTAAAGAGACAACCTTTTATTTCTTGATCCCAAACTGAT